GGGGGCAGGGCCATGCTGTGCTGGGTGCACCGGGATCTGAGTGTGGGCACCCGGGCCCGAGGGGGCAGGGCCATGCTGTGCTGGGTGCACTGGGATCTGAGTGTGGGGACCCGGGCCCGAGGGGGCAGGGCCACGCTGTGCTGGGTGCACCGGGATCTGAGTGTGGGCACCCGGGCTCAAGGGGGGCAGGGCCACACTGTGCTGGGTGCACTGGGATCTGAGTGTGGGCACCCGGGCCCGAGGGGGGCAGGGCCACGCTGTCCTGGGTGCACCGGGATCTGAGTTTCCCCAGCTTGTCTGCACAGAGGTCCGAATTCTGCCTGGGGGGAGGGCAGCCGTACCCTCTGCACTGAGCCTACCTGGAAGTTGGGATTGGGGTTGGGATACGGCAGCCAGGCGGAGCGGGAGTTCTCCTGGTACTTGAAGGGCCCGTTGAAGGCCTGCGAGATGGCACTGAGGTTGAAGATGCACACGGCCGAGGCGGCAATGCTGTTCCTGGGGGCAGAGGGAGAGAGCGGGGTGGTCAGAGCCTGCAGTGAGGCCAAGGCCACAGGGAGCCCCCACTGACCCAGCCAGCTGCTGACAGCACCGTCTAGGGTCCCTCAGGGGCTCGGCCTCCTCACACTCTGCAGAGGATAAGGTCTAAGCAGCATCCCTGTGATTCCTTCCTTTGTTGGGACAAACACTTGCGTACATCAACAGGAAGATTCAGCAGTTACGTCCCTCGCTTCCTGCCAGGCGGACGAGCTCCCGAGCAAGAGGAGAGCAGCCGGCAGAAGGTGTGAGCAGCTCTGTGCGTGTGACGAACTGTGCTCAACGACCAACCTGAAGGCTGGTGGTTTAAACCCACCGAGTGGTGCTGCGGAAGAAAGGCCTGGCCATCTGCTTCCATAAAGATTACAGCCAAGAAAGGCCTGTGGAATCGTTCTACTCTGCCACACATGGGGTCACCAGGAGTCAGAATCAACTCAAGGGCAGTGGGTTCTTTTTTTTTCCTTTTGGTTTCGTGCTACACCTTTTGAATTCTGCAGGAAAAAGACTCTTGCCAGCCTGCTGGGGCTCCCCTCCCACCTGTTTACCGGAGAGAAAGGGAGACCTGGAACGCCCGTCTCTGCCCACACAGATGCTGCACACTGGGTCACTTCCCACCATGACAGCCACTTGTGACACAAAACCAATAGTCCAGAATCCTCTGAAATCTATTTTCGCAACCCTCTAAATGGACCATTCATGTCTTGGAACGGCTCAGACGCATACTTCTGTCACTTGTGAAATTGTTCTTTTTTGTCCAGAGCTGGAGGAACCAGCCGCTGGGTTAGGCGGGCTCCCGTCGTGTGTAAAATTGATGTCAGCGGAGCCACCGTCCATTCATCTTGCGCGCCTCACACTATTCCTTAAATGAGGTTTTGGAAAGCAGAGCAACTTCAGAAACCATTGGTTGATTTTCCCAAGAAACTTATCAAGGAGGGAGAATAACGTCTGGGGTTGAAGACCAGGTTTACAACAACAAAGGTGGTCACGGAGGGGTGGCGTGGGCTGGAGCCATGCGCGTCAGCCTTGTTTCTCTAACGCTTCATGGAATAACATTGCCAAGGGACTGTCACCACTGAAGCTCAGCAGTGGGAAGAGAGCTGGGGAAGTTAACAGGGAAGTCAGATGCAGGGAAAGCGGCCCTTCAGAAATGCAGTTCACGGGCAGGCTTCGAACGTCAGAGACGGAAAAGAAAATTAAGAACACTTGAAGCAGGGGGAGGGGAGCGGGGGCTCCTTGGTGGAATTCTCGCCTCCCGGCTCCCATGCCCGGCTGATGCGCCTCATGAGCGGCCACCACCCGTCTGTCAGCGGAGGCTTGCGTGTTGCTATGATGCTGAACAGGTTTCAGTGGAGCTTCCAGACTAAGACAGACTAGGAAGAAAGGCCTGGTGATCGAAGCCAATGAAAACCCTATGGATCAAAACAGTCTGATCGGCAACCAATTGTGGGGACGGCATTGGACTGGGCAGTGTTTTGTCCTGTTGTACATGCGGTCGCCATGAGTCAGGGGCCGACTCCACAGCAGCCAACAACAATAGAAGCAGAGCTAATATCACAGGTTGACGGGCCTCCCTGGAGTCCCTGGGACTGAGAGGTTTCCTGGGACCAAGGATGGTCCTCAATGCTAAAAACAGGAGATTCTTAAACAAGCCAAGACACTGGTCGCCTCTGCCATCAAACGACCCACTCAGACCAGGACCCTTTACTTTGAATGCAAACGTTTGGTTTGGTCCCTGTCTTAGTCATCTATGGCTGCTCTAACAGAAACACCACGAGCGGATGACTTTAACAGAGACATTTATTCTCTCACCGTCCAGTCGGCTACAAGTCCAAGTTCAGGGCGTTAGCTCCAGGGGAAGGCTTTCTCTCTCTGTCCGCTCTGGAGGAAGGTCTTTGTTATCCCACTTCCCTTGGACTAGGAGCTTCTCTGAGCAGGGACCCTGGGTCCGAAGCACACACTCTGCTCCCAACACTGCTTTCTTGGTGGTATGAGGTCCTCCCTCTCTGCTTGCTTCCCCTTCCTTTTTATTTCTTGAGAGATAAAATACGGTGCAGGCTGCACCCCAGGGAAACTCCCTTCACATTGGATCAGGGATGTGACCTTAGTAAGAGTGTTACAATCCCACTCTAATCCTCTTTAACATAAAATTACAATCACGAAATGGAGGACAACCACACGGTACTGGGTATCACAGCCTAACCAAGTTGACACATATTCTGGGGGGACACAATTTAATACATGACAGTCCGAAATGTTAGATTGTCAGATCAGAGATTTCAAGGGCAATCTAGGCTGGAACCCACAGTGTCTGAAGGCCCATGGAGTCACCATCAGCCCGGCCGGTGTTGGGGTAGGTGGAGCTTGGCCTCTCCCTGCATTCCTTCATTCCTGGAGTACGTCAGATCTTGCTGAGACTCATCACAGCCCCCCAGCTAAGGGGAGAGTCACTGTGGGGTCAGTCCAACACTGAGAAGTCAGAGAACAGGAAACAGCATGTATTCCTCCCGGCCCCATGTGTCATAAGCTCTGAAATCAGGCGTACCCCCTCTGTGGAACGCAAAATACCATGTAAGCGTTTCACAACTCCTTTAAAAGTATAACTGTCATTTTACAAATAAGTGCCTAAGTTAGCCGCCTTCTAGAAGGCTGGTTTGGAATGCAGCTATGGCAAAGTGAGAACGAGGTGCCTAGCATCTACCCAGCCCGATCCACATGGGAGTGCGGGGGCGGAAGTCCCATCATCTCAGGGGCAGACCTTCCAGACAAGCCCCTTTCATTCACACCAGTGTCTGACTGTGTACAGAAAAAAATGCATCTAATCTGCCCCGACATGTCTAGAAGTGCCCGGAACACAATCGCGACTCGAGAAGCAACAGTTTATAACAGGCTAAATCTATACTATTATTACATAAGGAGCGCTGGTGGTGTAGTGGTTAAGAGCTCGGCTGCTAACCAAAAGGTCGGCAGTTCAAATCCACCAGCCGCTCCTTGGAAACCCTATGGGGCAGTTCTACTCTGTCCTACGGGTCGCTATAAGTTGGAATCAACTCGACGGCAATGGGTTTGGTTTCTTTGATGGGTCAAGAGGGAGCCCTGGTGGTGCAAAGGTGAAGCGCTTGGCTGCTAACAGAAAAGGTGGAGGTTTGAACCCGCCCAGCAGCTCCTGGGGAGAAAGACCTGGTGATCTGTTCCTGTAAAGATTACAGTCTAGGAAACCCTGTGGGGCAGGTCTACTCTGTCCTACAGGGTCGCTAGGAGTCGGAATCGACTTGAGGGCAATGGGATATTACATAAGGATAGACGAAATCTTTCTGATTAGCGCTACCCTCCTAACACCAGTCTCAGAAATCACATATCTTTGGGCAACATTTAAATTATACTGAAAAATGTCCTTGCCCCCTGCCTCCTTATTTTTTGGCTGTTAGCCCAGTAAATAAGAAAGATTTGCAAGGTCAGCAAACCCAGGGAGCGTGGAGGAGTGGGGCAGCGGGAGGGGACGCCTGGGTACGCACACGTTGGTGGTGAAGACGCCATAGAGGAGGTCCAGCTCGGGCAGGAGGAAGGTGCTCTGCAGCTCATTGTAGTAGAAGGGGACCTCGCCGGGGCGCGAACAGTTGAGGCGCGCCTTCATGAATGTCGTCCAGGTGTCCTCCAGCAGGAAGCGGCCCCCGAGGTCGTTCTTGCAGACGCGGGCTGCGCGGGAGAACACCGTTTTCCCACAGTCGTGCTCCACCGCATTTTCTCGGAAAAAGAAGTAGGTGAAATTCCCGATGTCATAAGATGACACGAAGTTGGGTTCTGAAAAAGAGACAACAGAAGAAATGTCTCCACAGCCACGTGACTTTCCTTTTTTGCCTTGTTGCTTGGCCTTCCTTCCAAGGGGATGTGGATTTCTAACACACACACGTATGCACGTGCACACACGCACACATCACACATACACGCACGCACGCATGCATGCACGCCACACACATGCGCACACACCCACGCACCACACACACGTGCACGCACACACCACATGCGCATACTCATACACACACCCCACACACACACCCCACACACACACACAAAACCACTGCCATCGAGTCAATTCTGACTCTCATTGACCTCATGTGTGCAGAGCAGAACTGCTCCGTAGGGTTTCAAATGGCTGTGACCTTTCAGAAGCAGACTGCTAGTCCTTTGTTCCGAGGTGCCTTTGGATGGGTTTGAACCACCAACCTTTCGGCTAGTAGTTGAGAGCCACCCAGGGTCTCCTTTCTTTAGACAACGCCTGGTTTTTATTGGACAAATGGGAGGCCCTGTGAGCAGTTTAATGACATTCACCACTAAGATGCTCAGTGCCGCACACATGTTCTAAATCACGGGGAGTCGCTTCAGCATCCTGAGCGCAATCAGTGCTCCAGTTAGCCCGGCGCTGATTCCATGGAAAAGGTGCAGCAGAGATTCGCTGGGGTTTTTAGGACAACACGTACTGCTCCCTGCCCACATCCTTACATAACCATCTGACAGAGAGGGAGAAAGTGAAGTAGAAGGATCGCACGTGATTCAGAATGCATGAGTCCACTGTCACGTTAGTTTGTAAGACACCAAAATTCCTGAAGTACTGACGCATGTGGCTTTGACATAGCTGACGTGCTTCTGGAAATGACTTTAGAAACGTTTTTCTTATGAAAACTGAAACAAAACGCCTTTTTGTAGGGCTAGTGCCCTGAATAAGCTTCATAATCCCCCATACCACAGTGACGACGGCACAGTGAGGGGCCTTCCTGGTCTTGTTTCTGGGCGGCTGGGGTCCACTGAGAGGAGGAAAGGGGGTGGGATGGAAAGCCAGTATCCTTGTTCCGTACCTCTCTTAAAAATGGGAAGACAGAGCTGGCCACATTCTGGCATTGCCTGTTCTTAATCACCAAGCTCATTAGGAATTACATAGATTGTCAACATCATGTTCTGTGCAGCATTTAAAGTGGCGTCTTCATAACACGCTGTTGAGCAGTGAAAAGGTCTGAACCCATCCATAATAGTGAGGATGCCCTTTCAGACACATATGTGCCCTGATGTTTACTGTTTATGACTTCAATAACCAGGTTTGATTCTTACTTGGTTCTCTGTCTCTAAGAGCTACCCTTCAATCAGGTAGTGTTTGAGTTTTAAGGTGCAATTAGGATAATTAGGGCAATAACCTTTGGTGGTCAAAATGAATGGAAAAATACAGATACCAATGGTATCCACAAGGACACATGTCTGAGGACAATTGGTTTTATACTTATGGTTATAATTTCATTTGGGAATAGATTTTCTTTGTTATGTTAATGAGACAGTATTAGCATAGGGTGTGTCTTGAGTTGATCTCTTTTGAGATATAAAAAGAGCAGATAAAGCAAGGAATCTAGGAAGCAGAGATGGAGGAAGAGAGATGCCAAGTCATATGAAGATTTCCCAGGAACAGAAGCTCAGGAGAGCCAAGTACCTTCCCTGAGAACCCACAGAGAAAGAATGTCCTGCCCTAGGGCCGGCACCTTGAATTCAGACTTCTAGGCTCCTAGACAGTGAGGAAATAAATTTCCGTTGGTTAAAGCCATTCATTTTTGGTTATTCTGTTACAGCAGCACTTAGGAACCTAAGACAGGTGGGTATTGTCATTCTCCCCATTTCATAGATGAGGAAGCTAAGGCCCAGAGGCTTAGTAGTAACTTGCCCAAGCTCACACAAGCGGCAATTGGGGGGGTGGGGGTGGATTTCCTGAACCAGGCAGTCGGATCCCAGAGCCTACACCCACCATTACGCTAAATTGAAAAATAATGGTGCACAAACCTAACAATAAATTATGCTAACGATATTCAAGACTAGGATTTGGATTTCTGGACAATAGTTTGGAACCAGATGGCGAGCTCCTAGTTAGAGAGTCACCACACGGCATCGAGAATGGTGAGTAGGTTTACTTGGGAGAAGCTGAGAAGGGTTTTAAAACTGACCAAAGGTGAAGAAAATGCCCAGATGAACCAGTAACCTACACCTATAAGAGACACCAGGAGTGATACAGAGAGAAGTAAACAGTGGGAGGAAGGAGCCAACAAAGCAAGGTATTACTAAACATGATTACCGTCGGGAACCAACAGAGCAAGGTGTTACTAAACACGATTACCGTCGGGAACCAACAGAGCAAGGTGTTACTAAACAC